GCTTTTCAGAAAACGATGAACCTCTTCTAGTACGGGATAGCTGAGAGGCTGCCAGCAAGGAATTTACCTACCAAGTAACAATCGTCTCACACGCATTCGTCGCACCTCATCTAACCTTTTGTTTGAAAAATGTAACATAACTATTCCAAACTTCCATACGTAATACTCTCTCCGTCCCTAAATAAAAGTATCTGTTTCCTTTTCGGGCCGTCCCTAAATAAAAGTTCTCTTTCCTTTTTTGACAAACAAAACAATGTAAAATAGTGCAAAACAGTGCAAAACAGTGCTAAACAGTATCCAAACAGTGCCAAACAGTGCCAAACAAACCCACTTTCTTAAAATGTGTGGAAAACGAATAGATACTTTTATATAGGGACGGAGGGAGTATATATATTTCAAATTTTATATAAAAAGTTGGATTAGCACTATCATCATATATTTTCCATAAATGTAATTTTATGGTATTAAGTACTACCTCCGTTCCCATTTTAACTTCCAAATGGATTTGGCACAAAGTTTAAGATAGTGAATATTGTGTGGTGGAGAGTTGTGCAGAGAAGAGAGAAATGTGTAAGAAATATTGTGAACCACAAATTTTTTACCAAAAAGGAAAAGTGGAAGTTTTAATTGGAACGGACGAAAAAGGAAAGTTGGAAACTTATTTAGGAACGGAGGGAGTACATAATTTTAAATACATGAAACATTTGTGAGGATGTAATTAAAATTAAATTGTACGAGATGTAATATTATTTATTTCACAAATGAAATTATTGAATGCTAATTGCCTTCTAACAAGGCTTAAGGTATTTAAAGTTATATAATTATTCCAATAAATTTGTATTTGTAAAAAACATATAATTTGGGGTATATAACTTTTTATATAAAATTTGAGGTATATATATTACATATCCAAGTTTGAGACATCTCACACCGCATTAAAGTTTGAGACATTTAAATTATTTTCCCCTTTATATTATTACTTTAGTTCCATCGGACACGTTAACAATTTTGACGATTGTTGATGCACACCAAATTTATACACACTTGACATGCATTTATATCTAATTGTTTGTGTATATAGATAATTGGTGCATTAGTTGCTTTTGTACAGAAACAACTAAAATGTGTATATATTGTTTGTGTGCACAGACGGGGCGGAGCCAGAGCACTGGGCCGGACCGAACCGGTACAAAAAATATTTTTGAAAAAATTTACACGATATTTTTACACTTAAAAAAATAGACATTTTATAAATTTGGGTTGGGGCGGGGCTAGGGTTACCCCATCTACGCCCTGTGCACAGATAATTACATAAAAATGTGTGTCAAATGTACAAATGTCATGTATGAATAGAATTTTTCTAACAAATTTATATCATTCAAGAAGAGATCGATAGAAATTGTGTGTGAGCACGAATAATTATAATACAAATGTATGTCAATTTCTAACGAAACTAACCTACAAATTCAATACTTTAAGTTGATATTGTCTAATGAAAGTACTTTTTGTATTTTACTCAGAATCATCTACTTTATGACGACATTCTTATCTAAGAAGCCAGCTCCGGTAGGGACTTGACATAGGCAATGGTTTAGAGCTTCATTTTTGACAAAGACAATGAGACAGGAGTAAAATATAATAATAATTAAAGTTGAAAGAGTAAGAAAGATAAAAAATGAATAAGAAAAATGAAAAGAGAGGAATGAGTAAAAATGAAAAAGTACAGTGTTATACGAGTATGAAAAAATGATAAAGTTTCTAACCATAAAAATGTATCCAATAAAACAAAAAAAAAACTACGGAGTATTAAAGAGTTAATAAGTTAGTATGGCTCATTAAGATTGTCTCATTTTACCTTATCGGTCCGTCCCGTTATGATTGTCTCATTTTACCTTATCGGTCCGTCTCACACTCTCACTAAGATTGTCTCATACCAAATTTGATAAAGTTTGTATGGCTCTAAATCATTTTTACTTTATTCTTACTTTATCAATTTAATATCAACCACATAAAACACTTTTTATTAATTTGCGTGTCACTCCCTTTTGTCTCATTGTTAGTGGGCCGTAGGGAGTATGTGCTAAGGGCCTGTTTACTTTCGACTTAATGGGCTTAATAGAAAATGTGACTTATTCGCTCAGCTATATGTTCTTGTTTACCTAGGACTTAATATAAAATGTGACTTGTTCGCTCAGACCTTTATTGACTTATTCATTCAGCTCGTTTTTAGTTGTGCTTACCATACAAACATCCATTTATCGGAGTTATATATCAGAGTTTCCCTCTTACCTTGACTTATCCGCACTTGATTTCAACGCAGACCATTGTCTTCTTCTCCACCCCTTCACTCTGGATTCTTGATATTTCTTGGTCGATTTTCACCCCTAAGTTCAATTCCGAGGTTGGATTTGAAATTGGAACCATGAATTACGGCCAAAAACTCAAAATTGAACTAGAAGTTTGGACTTTTCTTGTTCATCTCAAAATCGATTTTTGTAAAAAGAGTTGATTTAAGGTTGTTTTTGGATTTTAAGGTTTGATTGTTGTTTATCTTATAAGATGAACTAATTGACCCTATTCTTAAGTGAGAATACTTTGTTTAGTTGAAACCCAGGCTTCCAGATACCGTTCATCCTCCATCCATGTTCGATGCTCATGTTCAGGGGCGACGGGTACTGTTCATTCACGAACGGGAACCAACTCCAGAAAATGTGTTTGGGGTCTCCTCAAAACTTTTCATTTGAAATTATACTCCATATTTCAGAACGAGTAATTTAAACGGATAATATACGTTCAGAACTTGTTCTAGATAGAAGGATTATTTGGTCATTTAACATCATTCAGACTTCTCATTCAACACATGTGGTAAACAGCTTATTATCTCAGTGTCACTTAATCCAGGCAGACGTCTTAATTCAGACAGACGTTTTAATCCATTCAGAACTTAATGGAAAAAAGTGAACAACCCCTAACTGTTGTTCAGCGGGAGTGATTTATCGGTTATCCTTTCGAGTGAGAGCTATTCGTGGACTCGACTTAGCTTAAATTGAATTGGACACAATATACTCCCTCCGTCCCGTTGGAATGTTCTCGGTTTGATCTACACACATAAGGAAATAAACTTACCAGAGGGTAAATTTTACTGTTTTGACACTGTTTCGACACTGTTTGGCACTGTTTCGACACTGTTTGACACTGTTTGCACTTTTTGACCCTGTTTTGATGTAGGATAACTTTCCATTTAGGAAATGAGAACTTTTTAACGAGACATCCAAAAAAGGAAAGCGGGAACATTCCAACGGGACAGAGGGAGTATATGACTATAATGCTACATGAATAAATACCGGACCGTTAAAACAGCTCTTATTTGACTTTGAGGCTTGCTAGTTATATGAATTTAAAGTGTTTAAAATTGAACAAGTGTTATTGGACACCACTTTTAGATCACATGTGCACCTATTCGAACTCATAGCCTCTCCTCCGTCAATCTTCTCGTTTGTCTTTTATGAAGGAATAAAACAGTTCTTGTTATTTCCCGAAAATAATGAAAACTCTTCAATAAAAAATTAATCTATCAAATATATGATCCTTCGTTCTTTAAAAGTTGCAATAGTTTGACTTTCACGTTTGTCAATGCACAACTTTGACTGTAACCACATTTAATTGAGTATTAGTAAACATTAAAAAAGTTAATATTTTTGAAATTTACATTAATAAAAATTCAATAACATCTTATACATAATAATTTGATTACATATACTATTAGAAAATTGTAGTTAAAGTAAAGTGTGTGAATAGTGCAAAAATTCTAATGTTGCAACTTTTAAAGAACGAAAGAAGTATTAAATAACACAATTAAGGCATCACAATTATCATCAAAGACCTTCTTATATTATATCCCCATCAAAATTATTATCAAAATGTATGCTCATCATATGTATTACTCCCCCGTTTTTTAAAACTTGACCAAATTTGAACAACACAGGATTTAAAAATGTAAAAACAGTGCAGAAGAGACTTGTGCATAAAAGACAGAATTAACTGGAACCACAAATTCTTTATTTAAAAGAGAAAGTGACGAAGTAAGTGGAACAACCAAACAAGAAAAATTAGACAAAGTTATAAGAGACATAGGAAATATATTTTCCATTTAATTACTTTTCCACTCTTCTTTTTGATCATTCTAAAAAACTTTGGGGGTGTTTGGAAAATAGCGCGTCAGCCGAAAAATGACGGTTTGACCACTTGTAGCGTTTTTAGTAGGTGAAAATGCCGTTTGATAAATAGCTGTTCGGCACTAGAGTTTTTGGATAGAAACGCTGAAATGGAAACACTGCAAATGAAAGAGTTTTGGGTCAGCGTTTTGAAATATGAAATTTTCTATTAATTTTATGATCAAATATCTAAATTACCAAACATCTTTTGACAATCGCCAACTTATTCCGCTATTGCAACATGCTGACTGAATCTGCTATTGACAATCCGCTAACATAATTTGTCATCTGCTAACCCCTAAATGTCAAACACGTCCTTTGTTAATTTTCTATTAAAATAATTAATTTGTGATTCTACTCATTTATTTCTTTTATGTATAAACTTCAATCATACATCTTTTACTTTTCTTATTTCTCACTTAATATTAACTCGCAAAGTTCACAAGGTAATATTACCTCCGTCTCACTCAACTTTGCCAAGTTGATGTTAGGTGGAAAAATAGAATAGTAAAATTTGTGTGGTTGAGATTTGTGCAGAAGAGAAATAAATGAATAGATGCACAAAAACATTACTTTAAATGGAAAGTGACAAAATTTTTTGGGACAAAAAAAAAGGAAAGTAGGCAAAACTCAGTGCGACGGAGAGAGTATTCTCCGAATAAGAATGAACAATGAAGTGCACGTATGCCGCGTGGGGCGGGAGGTACTAAATACTAGCCTTATCAACAAGCTAGCTGTCAGTCAAAGAGATGACTTCTTTTTAAAACACCTCGTGCGAATTACGCTCTCCACTCAAATTTTCCATTTTTATACGCGCAACCACTATATGTATAAATACTCATTGCGGGAAGTCCAACTTTCAACCACTGAGAAACAAACAAAAGAAAAAAAAAAATCTGGGATCAGAAGAAAGAAAGGGAAGGAGGAGAAAAGTCCTGCGACGAATTGAAGCTTAAAAGGAAGAGGTTAAGAGAATATTCAACTGAAGATGAAAAGTTACGGTGGAACTGTGAACGATCAACAGCAGCGATTGGATATGCCACCGGGATTTAGATTCCACCCCACAGATGAGGAGCTGGTGGTGCACTATCTCTGCCGGAAATGCTCCGGCCAGTCCATCTCTGTTCCGATCATCGCCGATATCGATCTTTACAAGTTTGACCCGTGGCACCTTCCTGGTAAGCTCCTACGAATATATCTCTCTGATCTTGGTTTGGAATCTTTGGATCTTTGAATTGAATTTGACTTCTCTGCGTTTGGGTCGGATTTGATGCAGGTATGGCTCTTTACGGTGAAAAAGAATGGTACTTTTTCTCTCCGAGAGACCGGAAGTACCCGAACGGGTCCCGTCCGAACAGGGCTGCTGGCACAGGGTACTGGAAAGCGACCGGAGCCGATAAGCCCGTCGGAAAACCGAACACCTTGGGGATAAAGAAAGCCCTTGTCTTCTATGCTGGCAAGGCTCCTAAAGGTATCAAGACTAATTGGATTATGCACGAGTACCGTTTAGCTAACGTCGATCGCTCCGCCGGCAAAAGGAACAATTCCAGGGTATGAATTTATATTTATTCCATTCAAAAATTCAATGTTTTGTAAGTTTTTTGTTTTGTTTTATAAATTCCGTCGAATAACCATTGATTTGATATCCTTGCAGCTTGACGATTGGGTGCTCTGCCGGATATACAATAAGAAAGGCACGGTTGAGAAGTTCTACAACCTGCCGGAAGTTCAAGAACAGAAGCCGAACATCACCCAGAATTTACAGAGCAAGACGGCGCTACTGCAAGCGCCGCGACTGCCGCCGATGATTTCACCGGCGGTGGTGGAGAGCAAGAACGAGTACGTGCATTTCGACACGTCGGAGTCGGTGCCCAAGTGGCACACAGACTCCAGCTGCTGCTCGGAGCAAGTGCTGTCGCCGACGGAGTTCGCCGCCGACCGGGAGGTCCAGAGCGCGCCGAAATGGGATGACATGGACTTCCAGCTCAGCAATTTCATCGATCCTCTAAGAGATGACCTGTTCAATGTTCAGCAGTATAATAATCCTTTCCAAGAAATGTTTATGTTCACGCAGAAGCCTTGTTAAATTAGGGGAAGATTACCACTAGTTTAGAGCTTATAAAGCGGCATTCTTTGTCCCTGTAAAAAAAGATTAATTCAACAGATTACTGTCATGCCACTAATTAACTATGGCGGCTGAACGAGTCCTAACTTATGGACGTTGGATTAATCAAACGATTACTGTAATAGTGTAATGCCACTAATCTGTGTTAGGGTAAAATTATCAAACCTTATTTATACGATCAATTTAATTCAAGTTTAATCTCTTGTAAAGAACAAGAAATTGCAAGTTGTGGTAAATTGAGTCTTGGGGGTTTCAATTTGCTTATTCAAACTGCTTTTGCTAGACTGGTTCATGAAGCAGTTTCTAATTCCTTCTAGCCTTCTCTAGAAGGATTTTGGAAATAAAGGGTTTATAGAAAACATGGGAACCACACAACAGAAATCTGTTTCTTTCTGGAGTGTTGAATCTCAACATAAACATAAGGAATTAAGAATTGATTCTTGCTCTGGTGTGGTCTATTCAAGTTTGGTCTGATCTGAATTGATTTGATATGAGAATTTAAGATATTAATTCAACTAAAAACATTCAAAACGTGACTTCAAATATTCTAACGACGCATTTATCATTTTTTTTCAAATGTTAAACATATACGAGTAAAAAATTTAGTGTAAAATTTTATCTAAAAAAGTTCTTTATACTCATCCAACCCAATCTAATGTGCTTGCTATGCCCCTCATACTATGTACTACATATTTCTAACTTTATGGAAAAGACATTAACATATCTATTTTTTCACCTGGGAGGTAGGGGAGGGGTCGGAACATAGTTTAAACTGAGATTAAACTCACTACATTGAGTATTGAATCTGAGATCTCTCATAAAAGAGAGTGAGTCACGATCAGCTGAGCTGGATCGCTTCCTCTTAAAAATAGCTTTTTTGAGAGAAAGTGTAATAAAAATAGTTAGTTATTGCTTCTACCTCATTTCAATATTTCACTGTGATACGTAATCTACATTATTTGAAGTATTCATTTTTATGTGCTACTATTCAGACTTTGATATGTAATCACACTAGCTAGTGTGATATTAACAGATTTTCTTAGTACATAAAACAATATATTATGTCATTTTGGAAATTTTAAACAATGAAGTAATTCAAAATATCAAGTTATTCCAAGTTCCAACAATCTATTCAACCGACTTGGTCGAGTAGAGGACATGAGTAGGGGCAGAACCAACAAACTGTCCTAATACAAAGAATGTTTTTTTATTTAAAAAGTACTCCATAAGACAGGAGTACTTGGTATTTTAAATTTGAGGTGGACCGAGGTCTACATTTACTCCCCAAGATTTGCCCCGAGACATTGAAGAAGAAGAAGAAAATGTTTTTTGAAGCCCAACAAAAAATCAACTTGGCCTTGATTATGGTTATTCCCCATACGAAGACCAGTTTGTGTATTGTTAAGTTAAAATGTTTTTAGGATCTTTAGAACAATCTCTAATGTACGTTGTGTGATCTATTTTACACGATTTTTTTACCTTGAAAATACAAGCATTTTTAAAAATTTGGGGTGGAGCGGGGCCAATGTTGACCCCTCCCTAGCTACGCCCCTGTTTACGGACCGAATATAATTAAATGAAGTCTCAACTAAATTGACGTTATTTTAAATTGATTGATAATAAACACGATACAAAATAAAAGGTTAGATAAATGGAAACAAGATTAGCATCACTTTATAACAATGAAAGGCTATATAGACATTTTATCATGTACTTAAACCAAGTACAAACAAGTATTAGTAAATGACATGTAGAGTATGACATTGTCCTTGATCTTGACCAGAATCGGACTAAGATTGTGAGTGTTTGTGCAGCTTATGAATAAAAGTTCTTGTTCGCAATCGGGAATAGTAAACTAGTAGTACAAGTTTGATTAGTTTGTATATCCATGAGAATTGATTAATTTATGCCCTAATTCCATTTTTTGTTCAAAGTTCGAACTTCCAACTCGAGCGACGAGCCATGTAATTCTTGACCGTGAAACAAATCCAATATTGACCATTGAATTAGACTCGAATCTTGTATCAGTAACCCTAATTGTGGTTAAAGTTGTTGACAATTTTAGTGTCCTTTATAGAAACCTTTGGATCTACGGCTGACCACATTCCATCGAGCAAGGGCAGATCGTAGTAGAGACCCAGGGACGCTATCATCCCCTCAACATTTTTTTTTAATGTGTACATATACAAAAAATAATTTTCACCCAGCCACAAAATATTTTGAAACCTCCCAAAAAATATTTTTGCCCCCAAAGCATAGCTCACTCACAGAGGCCCAATTGTTTAAAGCCTAGACAAATAGAACTTATAGAAGTAATATTTTATCAGCCCAGTCCAAGACTCAAGGAAGATAAACTCAACCAAAACCAGATGGAATATGGAGTGACAAACTCTCAAGTCACAAACTCCACATGTGATTAACGACTGATGAGTAGGCGGAGTAGCTACGTTGCAAAGACGCCAATTTCACGGCTAGTCCGCCATCCTGCCACCGCGCCCCCATCAACTCAACAAGTATTGGAGTCCAGCAGGCGCATCCGCCCAGTCCGGCAGTCCCTCTGCCGGCTCAGGAAATTGGTGGGCTTGAAACAGGCAGAGGACTTAATCAGGTTGGTACGTTACAACGAGCTGGGGAAACTCGTTGGATCTCGCATTTCAGTTTTGTTTGCAGATTGATTAGAATGTTTACTGCAACTTGTTCTGTTTTAGAAGATGCTGAAGAGAATGGCAATAACTTTTTTACTTGTGGAGATGCAGTTGGGGCACTTAAGAAGATTTTGATTTTGTTTTCGAATTCTTGTTGCATCTTGTTAAAGAAATTATGGGCATTGCAGATCTTTTATGTCACCATCTACAAAAGAAGTCCAAAGACATAGTAAATGCTATGCATTTGGTGTCAAGCACCAAAATGTTGATCCAAACGTTAAGAGAGGGTGGATGGGATAACCTCTTAGAAATTTTTAAAGAGTTTTGCAAAAAGCATGAGATTGAAGTTCCTAATATGAAGTCTCTTTATGTGGTAAAATGCAAATGCCATGATCAAGAAGGGTTTGATATTAAACGTCACTATCGGGTTGATATGTTTAACACAACCATAGATTCACAATTGTTGGAGCTGAATAGCAGATTTAGTGAACAGATAATGAATCTTCTTACTCTTAGCGGTGCTTTGGATCCTAAGGACTCATATAAGTCCTTTGACATTGGTGATATCTGTTCTTTAATGGATACATAATGAGCGAGAGAAGGTGGGCTTGAGGTTTCAATTGCAACATTATAAGTTCAATGTTCTAAACCATCCAAAGTTGGTGAATTTGTCCACAATGGCTGAACTTTGTCAAGGATTAGTGGAGACGAAGATGTCAAAAGTGTACTTTCTGATTGATAGATTAATCCGACTTTTGTTGACTCTACCTGTTTCGACATCAACAACAAAATGAAGGATGAGTACCTTGCAGACAACCTTGTTGTTTATATTGAAAGAGAAATTGCTAAAACTTTTGACTCAAAAGCCGTGATTGGGGAATTTATCTCTTTGAAGGAGCGCCGGGCATAATTCTAAGGTACTAACTTAACTATTTTGTAATAATATATTTGTCTATTCTTCTGTTTTTTGCTTACCGTGTACTATTTTAATGCTTCGTTTTATTAATATTATATTAAGGTTATAACTTATAATAATGAGCGCCTAGAATTTTTTTGTTTAAATTAGCGCCCTCCCAAGATGACTTTCCTAGGTTCGCCTCTACCAGCAAGCAACATGTTTATATGGACTAAAACTTAGTTCACTCGAGCGAGTTGTTGATTGTGTTGAGTATATTTTGGCCTAAACTAGTCTAGTGTTGTTTCAATTGGCATGGTTTTCTAAATTTGATTAGACGTGTTTAAGTGTGGTCCAAATTGATATGTACAAGTTTTATTTTTGTTATGTATAATGATCTTTAGTTTTGTCTAGTTTGGAACATTCAAATCTAATTTGATGTAATATCACTTACCATGATATACTATTTTCTTATGAAAAATTCCTAGTGTACACACTATAAAAGCCAAAAAATTCTCATTTTCTCCCCCCCCCCCCCCCCCCCCCCCCTCTTTTCTCTGAATTCATATATTATACACCTGGCTGTACTGTGAGCACTGTACAGTCAGCCTAATAAGGAACAAAATAATAGACACCGAAACTGGCCCATAATAAATCCATAAGTAACAGGCCCAAGGAAAAAATAGCAAAACAATTCGGCGACATTTTTGTTATTAATGTGAAAATCATTGTTTCTGCTAAATGAGCATTAGTGTGATGTTAATGAGCAATAGTCCAATGTTAATAAGCACCGTGTTAGTACAAGAAAGCTGATATCACAACTAAAAAATGGTGGCATTTTCGTAATTTCAGTGAAAATCGCGGTTTTCGTTAGATGAACATTAATACACTTTTAATGAGCATCAGACGTATTCTATTGAGCATTAAGAGTCGAATAATGAGTATTGTGATATCAACTTCATATATTGTAATTCACTTTCTTTTTCTTATTTTTTCTTTTATAAAACTCATTAAATTATATCTACAATCAATTTCTATGAATTTCAATATGCGAATCTAATGTAATATGATACTTTTGAAATATGCATTGTTATGACATTTTAAAAATGAACATAACATGAGTACCAATTGAGCATATGCAACTTACATAATGAGCATTGATATGAAATTCATAAATTTTTGGAATTTTATCAATTCAGGACCCGAAAGATAGATTAATTATCAATTCAAGACCATATCGGTATAAGACCTGAATGATGGAAAACTATCAATTTAGGACCTAATGTTCCATAGATTTTGATTTATTTAATTTTTGATTAATTCCATTACTAATTTTTGATAAACTTTTCTTCACATTCAGGTTCTAAATTGATAGTTTTTCATCATTCGAGTCTTATATTGATGCATTTCATCTTTCAGGTCCCGAATTGATAATTCGTCTTTCGGGTCCTGAATTGATAAAATTCCTAAATTTTTTGTTTAGCATCACGACAATTTTGTTGAGCATCAGACCTGCTATATTGAGTATTAGAAACATGCAATAAAATATTATGGTCCGTGATACAATATCTATAATCAGCTCCATAAATCTAATGTAATATGGTACTTTTTGAAATATACATTAACATAACATTTTAAAATGAGCATAATATCAGTACCAAATGAGCATACATAAGTTACCAAAATACAATGATATGAAAATCATAAGCTTTGTTA